CCCATCCTCTCTCTCCTCAGGCTTGGGAGTTGTTACAGAATTGGCCCCCTAGCCCCAGCACTCCCCACACCCCCCTCCACTAGCCGCCTTCTGCCTGAACTTACATTATCCTTCCCTTGCCGGTGAGACCCTGGGGTGCGAGCGCAGCCGCCGCCTTGGAAACGGCGAGGGAGTGCGGGTGGTGTGTGCATGTCTGCGTCTCGGTGGCAGGCAGGGGTGAGCCCAGCCACTCACCTTCCAGGAAGCGTGGATTCCTGGAAGTGAGGGGAACCGCCGTCATTTCGCAGGCAGCAGCAGCGGCACGGTGAGCAGGGGCCCACGGCTGCAGCCAGCAAGAAGAGCTCAGCCCAGGGTGTATGTGTGTGAGTGAGTGTATGAGTGAGAGTGTGTGTATGTGTGTGTGTATGAGAGAGAATGTGTGAGAGAGCGCAAGTGAGCTTGGATGTGCTTGGGGAGGGGGCTGGAGAATATGTGTGTATGAAGTGGGGGCTACAGCATCCTTTTCCCAAGCCAGTGAAAGGGTGGGAGTAAGGATGTGTACAGAGAGGGGGAAGCAGATGCCATTGCCCTTGTGCCCAGCAGACAAAGAGGCACAACAAATGCCTGAGAGAGGCAAGTGTGTGCAAGACACAGAGAGAGAGAGAGATGGATGGGCCTGCAGGGTGGGAGGGAAAATGTGAGATGCAGGGAAGGCCCAATCCTCTACCAGCTGAGGCAGCCAAGGCCCCAGAGGTCATGGGGCCCAGGACACAGGGGCAACTTCAGCTCTCCAAGTAGCAGAAAGTCTTTCTCCCACCAAACTCAGGCACTCTTCTTCCCTGAGAGAGGTTGTTCTCAGATCTAGGGACTTGATAGCCTTCTTTTTCTCAGCTGCATGGGTGCACAGCACTTTCTAGTCTCAGGCTAATGTTGCTCTATGGCCCTGAGCCCTTTCAGATCCTAGTACAAGTCTCCCTACTTCCTCTCCCCTCCTGAGCCCCTGGGGCCCCAGCAGCACACAGCCCTGGATGAATCTGCCCTCTATAAGGACAAGGCCTCAGTTCCGTTCCTTCCTTTCCAGAGGAGCTGCTCACTGACTGCTGACCTACTTCAGAGGAAGACTAGATTTTCTTATTCCAAGAATTTAGGGGTAGGAGGGGCTGTGACTTTGGGCTGCCCATCTCTGGATCCTTTTTTTACTATGGTTCTCTTAAACATTTCAATCCCAGAAAACTTGGGACAAGGACTGCTCAGTCAGTTAACTTCATCAGCTAGGTTTGAGCAGTCCAATTTCACTTGAAAATAGGGATTAGGGGTGGGGGTCTGTGTAGTATGTTAACAGACTCTTTTTTCTCCCCTTTCCCTGCTTAAATGAGAAAAGATTCGGATTAAATATTATCTTACATTACATAGGTGTTGTCAATGATTCTCATCTCTGTTTGACTCATCTTCTCTCTTTGTTGTTGTTAAGTGCCATCCAGTGTCACCTGCGACTCATAAGGACCCTGTGTACAATAGCCCTGAACCCTGTCCTATCCTGAGCCAATGTCATTGTCTTCAACACAACTGTCCCTATTACCCCAGTCACTGTGTCAATCTATCTCATCCAGGGTCTTACCCTCCTGTACTGTCCCTCTACTCTTCCAAGTCCTTCTCCAAGGACTGATCCCTTCTGGCAGTATGCCCAAAGTATGTGAGATGGAGCTTCAAAATCCTTGCCTCCAGAGAGCAACTTGGTTTCACCCTCTCCAGGATAGCTCATGCTAATAATTCTTCTATTGTTCCCATTTTAGAGTGAAAAAAAAATAATTAACGTACAGGTCATATCCACAGTGTTGGCTGGGTTTCTTATGAGGATGCTCTTCATGTCAAAGCCCAATCCTGGTTTCCCTTACCTCTTAATCAAGCCTATCCTGGCATTTTAATTGTGCAAAACAAAATGTCCTTTGAGCTTAGAGACAACTCTACCTTTAGCCCTTTCTACATCATCAGAGCCAGATAAAAGTACTAATTTCTTTCCATCTTAAACATTGAGGGGTTCCTGATTACTTCCACATCTCTAAAAGTCTTATTTTAGGCAAAGATTTCTTCAGTCTCATAGTACTTTACAGGTGTGTTAAAGTTTGTTAAGATTATGGAAAAGAACTGGGGGGAAAGGAGAATAGGGCTTTATTTGCCTACTTCAAAGCTATAGCTGGTGGCCTACTGGCTGAGGTCAGCCATTGATAAGTTTGGCTTACTCCATGGAACATTTTTAAAACTATTGAGTTCATATTTTAAAATGGTGACATTAAAAAAAAAATCTGGAAATTTGTACACATTCATAGTAGAGTAGATTGCTTTTATATGGCCTTTCACATCATGGGCTTCTCATTCCCACCAAATGACTGATTGGGTGGATATATGCAAATAAGGGGTTTGTGGCTCACCACAGGGATTGGACTATATACTAATAATTCAAATAAGATGCATGGTACCCATGAGGGAGGTAGGACCAAGTATATAAGGTATATGAAATTCTAACAAGGGGATTGGTCAGTTTTATCTTCTAAGAGGCAGAAAGCAGCCTTATTTATCACTAATAAAGAACTAGGAATAAAGCACAGCCTTTGGACTTAGGATCCTTACACTGAGAACCTCCTAGACCCAAGAGAGAGAAAGACACCAGAAGTGGCATGAGATGGCAATAAGTTGCAGCAGATGCAGCAGACCAGGAGCCTTGCATGGTGGGCTTCTCAGCCCATGACTGAGAAAGCTGAGGGCCTTTGGGCAGAAAGCTGCTGGCAGAGTGGGGTGCCTCCAGACACTTGGCAGGAGTAAGCTCTAGATCCAGAATTAAGAGTTGAGCACCTTCTGACCAAGGTTTACAGATGGAGTGAGGTGCCCCCAGGCACTTACTAGAGCTAAAAGAGCTTTGTAAGACTTGCCTGAACAGAGACAACTCTAGGTCAGCTCAGAATGCCAGGGGGATTGAAAACCAAGAGGTCTGTGGGTGGGCAAAGTTGAAAAATAGTTCTGACTGAAGAACTATGTCCTGAATTGTTCCTGATCCTGAATGATAACCTATTACTTCCCTAATAAAATTCACAACTGTGAAAATGGTGAGTTATGTGTGGCCACTGCAATGAATTTTCAAACTCTGCAGCGAAATAGAGTGCCTTGGAAGGCACAGTTGGTGTCAGAGTTGGTAAAAAGGTTGGAGAATAGAGGTATGTCTCCCCTTTATAGGAATCAGCCATGGGCTATAGATTTTCATTTTTCTTACCCTTTTTTAATTTAGTGGAGGTAAACTGCCCTGCCACACCATTTTTATATCCACATTTTTCTTTTAAAATTTGAAGAGCTTGGTCATACTGGATGCATATTCATCATGCATTGCAGTGACGGGTGAATAGCTGCTATTCCCTTAGGTGGGACAGGTCCCCATGACAGTCTTTTAATTTTATTTATTTATTACTTTTTAATTTTAATTTTATTTTTTTTCTTTTCTATTTATTCTTTATTCTACTTCATTTCTTGTCATACCCACTGGTGCCTGCAGGCCTCTGAGGCTTAAAACACTGCTTCATTTTCTACCAGGATAAGACAGAATTTTACCTTTGGCTGGTGACCTCAGAGCAGAAGAGAAGATGGGACCATTTCTTAATTTTTTTTTTCTATCACTCTTCTAACAGTCTCTACTCATATCCTCTCCTACTTCCATCCCCATACTTTGTCACTCAAAAAGTGTGGAGAAGAAAATAACTATTTCTGCAACATAATTATTACAACACTAAGTGCATATTATCAAGTACTAGCAAGCGTGAGTGTAAATTTTATGACTAGCATAGTTTAAAAAGTCCTGTGCCTAGTTGAAAGCTCCCTGTCCTGCTCCATAGAAGTGTCTGTTCCCAGCCTCTTAAAAACAGAACACACAAGAGGGCATACCAGACATATAGGAGCGGCCATTGCAGTCTTCTATGTCCATCTTATTGATTCTGCTGGAAGAGAAAATAACTACTATTAGAAGCTAGATCTAAGAAGAGTGATGTTCTAACATTGTTGAGTTGGCAAGAAACCTAAAAGATCATTTATGCTTGGCCTAACACTATCTTGGTGAGAAAAACAACATAATTGTTCTCCAATCCACAACTTCTGCTGACTTCTCCAGCCTCTGAGGTGAAGGGGTCCTGACTGCACTGTGTTTCAGAGAAGAGACTCCTTATTGGTGAATTTAATCTGTGGGAAAGGAGATAGGTTACATCTAAGCCCTTAAGAGGCAGAGAAGTAGCCCCCATTTGAGGCTCTGTACCTTGGTTAAGGGTAAGGTAGTGAGTGATAAGAGGGGAGAGTCCCTGGTAATATCAATGGTTAATTAACATGTGTGGCTCTAACCAAAGGTCAGAGTCCACCCAGAGGCACCTTAGAAGAAAGGCCTGGTAATCTGTTAATTAGCCATTAAAAGAAGCCTGAGGCTGCTTATGTACAACAATCTCAGGGGATTTGATTCCTTGGCTTAGAGGTTTCATAGGACTGTCCTGTTTATTGGCTATCATGTTTTAGTGTTTCTGTTCAACTTTATTTCATAATACCTGGAGTCTTAAAAGTTTACAAGCAGCCATCCAATGCACAACAGTTGGTCTTTATTCATCTGGAGCAGTGGATGAAAAGTTAGAAATAGAGGAAGAAATGGAATATATGGCTAATTGCTTCCATGAACAATTTCAACGTCTGTCATCAGATCAGAAAAATTGGATGGTGCATAAGTACCATTTCTAAACATTTTAATAAAAGAATCATGATCAAAAGGGGAGAAGTGTAGTATAGAATTTCAAAATTTCATGAACTTGAGACTTTCTGAAGCCATGAAGGCTAGAAGAACCCCTGAAACGATTACCTTGAGATAATTTTTAAGCTTAAACTAAAAATATCCCCCAAGGTCTTTTTAAAATAATAGTTTTACCTTAACTAGTAAAGAATGTTTGCCTTGGGAATTATGCTCTTTTCAGATCTATTTTATAGTATCAAATTGACAGGAGCAACTGACTGAAAGATCAGGTAGGAACCTTAGAAGACAGTGGGTTAAGTCTCTAATAGGGGAGGAAAAACTCCCTAAGAGAAAAGGAAGATGAGAATAGTTTCACAACTTAAAGAGTATTACTGAATTGTATTGAATTTGTTTGTGTTTTGCTGTGTATATATGAAGCATAGCTCTGTTCTGACACACATGAGG